GTCCGCAGACCACTGGTCGGCGACCGCTGCTCTAGGCTGTTCTGACGGGAACATATCTCAAGTCCAGTTTTACTCAGCGGACTTCACTGCATCTGAAGCATGAAAGAATACTTGTTCTCAATACTAATGTGTGAGCCTCACTGGATTAATAATAGCAAGGAATCCGCTGCTATGCAGCACAGCCTGGTCTATTTTAAGACATCAGATATGATGGATTCCTAACAAGTGCTGAGAGGCAGAGGCAGCCCTCTTCAGCAAGAGCTGTTTGGGCTTCCTCATGGTTGGCACCTAGTTTTCTTGTACATCCAGCCCCAGCATGTACCCCTTTGCCCCCAAGCTGCTGCAGGAAGGGACCCATCACCGCCTTGCACATACAGGGCCAGATGGACAAAGTCGGCGCTCCGCACATACAGGGTAGATGGACAAAGTCGGCGCTCCCTGCACATTCAGGGTAGATGGACAAAGTTGGCGCTCCCTGCACATTCAGGGTAGATGGACAAAGTCGGCGCTCCCTAAGTGCGGGAAGAACAGACACATGAAGTGGCCAACTGCCTTTGCCCATCTCCCTCATCAGCCAAGACTCCCAGAATGTGAAACCAACAGGATTTCACCTGAAAACTTAAAAAATTAAATAGAACACCAAGTTGATATCCAAGATCTTTATTGATTTAACTGTAACAGCAACCATTGGTGAGAATTTATTTTTTCACTAATTTCCAAACACCTGCTGGTTTGAAAGGACAATTAGACAAAAAAAAACAAAAACACCAAAAAACCCAAACCCAAAACAACTGATCACAGAATCACACAGGACTGCCTCAGGACTACATGGTGCCCTCTGCTATCCATCCATGACAGTGAAATGGATGAGGGGTCAGGGTCAGCCACATCAAGGGGATGAAGGGAAGATCAAAGGAAGAACTGGCAGTCTCTGCTTTCCATTCAGAATGGATGGAATTGGGCCACTGGTGTCGCTAAGACAGGGAAGGGCATTTTTGAATGTCTAAAATATTTTAAAGATGCTTAAAATGGACACGAAATATGTGAGTGTCCACCGGGCTCTCTAAGCCGCCTTCTCTAAGGTTTACCCTGGGTAGCACAGGGTCTCCTCACCGAGGGAGGGAGACGGGCTCCATCTTCAGGTGAAGGAAAGGCACTGGCTCACAGTACTCAGTGATTTGGACTCGCAGCAGAGCAGGATGGCTGACCGGACAGCTCGCCCCTCATCTCTACAGTGTTCCTCCCCCACTCTCCTGGTTTCAAGTAAAAATTACCCTCGGCTGGGGCTTTGCCTTTTTCTTTTTAAAGATTAAGATGGAGAGAAAGGGATGGCAATGGGCAAGTATGGCTATTCTGTGCTAGATTCATGGAATTCTCCAAGTTTGAAGTGTCCAGGAATTCTGGTTTTAAGCACCAACAAGAGTTCCCGTTGCAAATTTCAGCATGGCTAAATGATTATCAAGCATTGCAGCATCTCTCAGCCCGCCTCCCACTCACAGAAAGGTGGCAGAGTTAAGAGTTTAAATACTCCCGAAAATGTATTTTCATCTTCATAATATTTTCCATCAGCATGTACAGTATGGTCTGCCAGGGCTTCAGGCAGAGGTCAGGCAAAGAGAAACCACAGACCATGTGAACAAGACCTTGAAAGACCTCCTAAATCTAAGCTTTCCCAAAAGGTATCAACTTCCAGGACCAGCACAAAGAAATGTGCATTCCAGAAGCTGAGAAAGGTGACATGAATGATTGTTTGAAAAAATAGGTATGTATCAATCATCCTTAGTCTTCAGTAAAAAATTTCTGGGAGCTTGCCTCAAGGAAACTCCAATACTCAACTGGAAAATGATTACTAGAACAGGAAATCCCCCTGGGTGACAAGCATTCTAAAGAATTGCCTCCAAATCTGTTCTCATCTTTTATTGAAAGCTGAAAGGTAAAGAACTTTGGGGCGAAGGAAGTATGTGTGATAACTGCACCCCCTTCTAGTCCAGACAGAAACTGCCCTCCCAAAGAAACAATGCCTTTTTAAAACAAATACTACTCCCCTCCCAGAGGTCACAGGTGAGTGATTGAGTTTCGCAGATTTATCAATAGCTGCCGGTATGCATGTAGTCCAGAAACATGCCAAGAAGGGAAAGTTCTGACCCAAATAAAGGCACTGGGCCTCCTCTTTAAAGAGATATACAAGGCGCTGAGGGCCCTGGCTCAGCAGCCGAGATGCTCGATACCCCATTGAGGAGCCAGGATGGGAGAATAGAAAAAGGTTCAGTTTCTGGGATATTACTGCCAAGATGAGCCCCTTGCACCAGTGGCCTTGATTCAAAGCATATGCTCAATACACACTGGCGAGTGACCGGCTCTGGGATGAAGCCCACACAAAGCCAGCGGGTACATCCCAACGGAAATGTTTGAACTGGGAAGGTAAGTCTGAGAGTCCCTAAGAGCTGATAAATAAAACACCGTCTAGGTTGACTCCACCTTAAAATCAGAAGAAAAAGCATAATTAATTTGAAGGTGCCTTAAAGATGAGTTCCTTTCTTTGGGAAGAAATAGCTGTTTCTTATAGCTGCCTCAGTAGCAATGCTTTTCTTCAAGCCTACACTAAAGCAAGCAGGGCTACAGGTAAGAAAATGTTGGTAAGAGGCAGAGTGTAAATCCATATGAGAATCTGCATCTTCGAGATGTCTGAAACCTCTATAAACTTGGTTGGGCATGGGTGCCATAAACACACAGCAGACACTCCCTAAGAATGCATCGAACTGACAAACCTCACCCAAGTTTCTCGCAAGAGTGAAGACAAGACTGGTTCTCTTTAAAAAACCATTTCCATCAAGAGGCCCCGGACTAAGTGGGCACACGAGTTAACCTGTAATACTGAACTTAAAGGACAATCAAGCACCGACATTTCTAATTCCCAGATGTTCCCTACTTCGACGAGTAGCCTCTTGGGTGAACACCTGACCCAGGTGTTTCAGCTGGTGCAGCTGAAGACCAGGTGTCAAGCATCGACTCTGGTGGGCCTGGTTCAGATGCCATCATCTATTTCACCCTGAATCTGAACTCGAGAGCAAGCCGGGCTACAGGTAAGAAAATGCTGGTAAGAGGCAGAGTGTAAATCCATACACGATGAGTTCTTATATTACTTTTCTTCAGCTCAGTAATCCAACATCTACCTCACATTTGCTCTCTTTGCTAGAAACCCTAACTCCGATTGTCAGCTTTAGTGGATCAGCTACACAGACCCAATTCCCTTGGTCAATTCCTGGCTAGAGGGGATAGCAAGTAAGTGGTATTGAATTTTTAGGGACTTGCAAAGTAGCATCTTTGGGCTGCTGTTAGCCAGGCAAGTGTATACGCATTATGCTCTCCTGGAAGCTGCCATTTCCTGCCACCCCTCAAAACTAGCAGGTAGCTTTCAGGAAATAATCTGTCTTCTATCCCGGTTTGGTGATAACACATCTCAGAAAACTGTTCTCAGTAGCAACATCTCTCTCAATATATCATCTAGTTTAAACCTAACCCTCACTCCTTTTGGCCTGGTTTCATCCTGTTAGGGGTGAGGTGGTTTGAAGATATATCCACAAATCCTTTGATACTGCCCTGTACAGTAGGTAGGGGTCTATTTCTCCCCTTGAGTGCAGGCTGGGCTTAGTGGCTTGTTCCTAAGGAACAGAGTAAGAAGTGAAGGTGTGTGCTTTCAAAGACTGTCATAAAAGGCACTGCAAATTCCTCCCTGCCCCTTCTTCCCCCAGATCACTCACTCAGGGGGAAGCCAGCGGCCATGGTGTGTGGACACTCACAATATTCTACACAGAGACTCGCATGTGGGGAAACTGAGGCATCCTGCCAACAACCACAAAGAGAGAGCTCAGAAGTAGATTCTCCAGCCCCAGACAACTGCAGACCCTGCCAACATCTTGGGCTGCAACTTCCTAAGATCCCTGTGCCAGAACCACGATGCTAAGCTGTTTCCAAATTCCAAACCTATAGAAACTGACAGATGATGTTTGCCTTTTTAAGAGTTTGAGTTTGGGGGAGTTACGCAGCAAGATAACAGAAGTGGAAGGACAGGACGCTTGGCTTGGAAGCCTAATAGCCAGAAGCCAGTTTCTCTACTCTGTGCTCCTGAGAATTCGATAAGTATTTACACAGAATGAGGAAGTGGTGAGCTAAAGAAACCACACCATAAAAGAACGGAGAACCACGACGATGCATATCTCCTGCAGGAATTTGGAGAAAGAGGTCATTGTCATTAAGATGGACTGTCACCAGAAGTACAGAAACACGGTTCCCTCTTAAAAGAAAAATACAAATGATCACTAAGATTTTAAGAACCGTTTCACTCAAATGGTACCCTAAGGATGTTCCCTCCCCAAGGAAAAGTCAGGATAGATAGTTCATTCAGGGATTTATCTCTGAGTTTCCTTTCAAACATGCAGAAGTAAGCCACCTACTGGATTCTGCTTGCCCTGAAAACGATTCGGAGGCTGGGCACAAAGGTGTCACCTGTTGGAATTTTATGTTGCCTTGTGAAATCATCTTTAAGATACCCATTAATGAAGTCAAAGTATTTCTAGTGGCAGTGGACTCCAGGAAAGAAGTTCGCCCAGCAGTAAGGAAGTCCGTGCAGAGGAGCCGACACTCCCAGGAATACTAGAAACACGGCTTCTAATTAGGGGGCCCGTGCAGAGCTTGCCCAAGTTGTCAAACAAAGGGGAAAATTGTATCTTATACTACTCAAGCTGGCATGTTTTAGTTCCATTCCCCACTGCTCGAAGAGGCAGCTGAGGTTTCTGAGCAACAATAAAGGTGAGGAAGGGGATACTCTTCTGCTCACTGACAGACTGACCAGCTGTAGTTGAGTCGGATTCCTCAGACGCCAAGGCCAGGGTATGAAGAACGAAATCTTCACTCCTAAAGAATCATGCTCCAGGGACAAAGACGTCCTAAGCCAGCTTCTTAAGCAAATGACAGTGTAACTTGAGATTTCCAAGAGAATGTAAAGCGAAATCTGGAGTTTAATTAAAATCGGAACAGGGATACAGTAAACAAACAAACAATACTTTTCTGATCATCAGCTTCTGAGACTGAAAGCATCTCCAAAACTTTGGAGGTCCAGCTTATTCCTGAGACATCAACCATCACAAAAGGTTTCACTTTGTGAACTATTCACATTTTATAGCAGAAAGCAGAACGAAGTTCCTTGGACATCCTCCCTCTTTTGTCTAAGATGTATTTGCACACAGGGTCTTTTCATAGTTCAAAAGAAAAACAAACAGCTTTCTTTCTTAGCCAACTGGCCCATTACTCTCACCCTGGGCAGTGATCTCAATAGATGATTCAGGGCACCAAATCCAACCAGAAATTCCCAGGATATCAGAGGCTACTTGTCTTTCTATGAGGGGACAGAGGCATTAGTCTTTCTAAGAGGGACTGAGTCACTCTCCTGGGATTACTGTGCCAGTCAATAGTCAGGGGGGTGGCTAGGGAGCAGAGGGAATGACAGAGCAAAGGGTAAGGGAGAAGAAGGAGGCTTTCATGAACAACCCACAAGGCAGAACGGTCCAGCTTTACCACCCACCCACTACAAACGCCAAGCATGCACACCCAAAACTAGGAGGAGAAGGAAAGCGCTCCTAAGGGACTGCAGGAGACAAAGGATGGTGACATGGAACAGCAGACTTGCCTACAGACATTTCTCACCTTCCTAACACTGGAAGATGTGATTAAAAAGTTGCTGTTCAGAATTTACTGAAAACATATCTAAAAATAGGTCTGTAGTCATCTTAAAAAATAAAAGGTCACTCCTCAGATAAGAGGAGTGACAGATATTATCAGATACCAACACTTGAGGTATCTTTGATGTATATTTGAAACATGGCCTGGCAGAGAAAAAGGAAGGAGAGAGAGAGAGGAAGGGAAAGAAAGGGAAAATTCAGAGTACAAAGGGAAAGCAAGAAAATGGGGAGGAACACATTTTGAAGCCCATGCTTATCTATCTCAGCAGCCAAATAAAGCAGGTCCACAAAGGAAAAACATTTAGTTTTTCTAAGAGCATTCTGGAAGTCATCTTTAAAAATATAAAAAAACTGCAGCCTGCGATAATATTACAATGCTCATTGGATTAAAAAAACAATGACAACTAAGACTAGTGACTCAAATGGGCCAAGGTTCTTCCAAAATCATGCTTAAGTACTATGATCAGGCCTTATCCAAAGTGCTCTATCTCTGAAATTATGTGGATGCTCAGAGTACAATAGGATTGCAAGCAACATGATGCAAGAAGGGAGGAATAGGAGAGGAGGAAAGAACAGCTGGTTACTGACGACCCCCTCATGTAGAGTTTAAAAATGCTTGCACACATGTGCTAAGTAAAGGAATGGAAAGAGAAACTATTATACCAAAGACAGAAGGCATTCCTCCCAGAGGATGGAGGGGAAGCAGACTTCAGAACAGTGTCACAGGTAGTGCTACCAGAGTTGTACAACCTGTGCTGGCCCCAGGGACAAACACCTTAAGGGACAAGAGAGAGCAGCTCTTTTCTTGTTTATTTCCCTCTGGTTTTGAAGACCCCAAACCAGACTCTTGTAGCACTGAACCATGGGTGGAAGACAGGCAGGAGACACAGGACAAGAACATGAACAATGCTGAACCCAGCAAACCTCTGTAACACTTGCCCAGACTTTCCTGGAAGCCAGCAATTGTTGGTAGGTTGATATCTGATTTGGGATTTTTTTTTTTAATTGGAGACGGGGTGGTGTATCTCAATACAAAAATGACTAAGGAAGCCAGAATTCAACTGTTTTCCTTTGTGGGCTGCTTAGTTCTACAGAAATACGCCATGGGCCTTCAATCTAATCTAAGTGGGAAAGGGAACAGAAGCAGGAAGAGGAAATAGTCAGATGAAGCTCTTCTTCGCATCATTTGGCACCCAGAGGAAGAGGAGGGGGCACTGCAATGGGGACTGCTGGTACTGCCTCTTCTGTGTTTTCATTGTTGATCCTATTGGCCGAATCAGGTACACACACAGGTATCAGCGTTGCTGCTATTCTTCTGATCCTTGCAGGACAGTTAGATGTCCATCTCAAACTGAGCATCATCCCCTAGTTGGAATGAAAAGATGAAAAGTCTTACACAAAAAGGAAAAGCAAAACAGCTTTCACTGCCATTCCCTCTGCACGAGGGTAAAAAATTAATTCAAACAGTCCAATGCTCTGCTGCCTTAAAACAATTATTCGGCTTTGCTTTGGCTGATCTTTTTAATCTTGGGGGAGAAAAAAAGAATGGCAATCACATCACCAATGGGAAGGAGCATTTGAGAAAAGGATGGAAATGAAAACCTTCCCAGTGTCCCTTTATCTACAGGTTGACCACACAGGAATCCTGGGGTGCTTCTTGCCATCTATCCCATCAGCACACTCTTCTGGAAGTTTTGAACTTTGGCCCGGCTTTGAATCGACACTTTGTCCATTAAAAACTCATTTGGAATTTGAGGAGGCAGAATGCTGGCTCATGTACAGGGGTCACGGAGTGCAACCTGAGGTGGACTTCAGGAGCTGGTTGTTTCAACCTCCCTCTTCTGCTTACAGAGACAGCAAGGACTCATTACTAACTGTGTGTGTGTAGAGGCTGTTTATTTAAATATTATAGGCAGTCCTAGAAAACGGGAGGAAAAACCTATTGCTTTCCCCCACAAGCTAGAAATGGGGACTATTAACCAGTTAACTGCCACAATATTTTGAATTTAATTAAAAAAGATCCGCCGCCTGCGTCTATACCTGCTTATGGTCTACAAATGGTTAAACAGTTTTGTTTTTGTGTGTTTTCCCTGGTCGCATAGAGCCCAAGTTCCCTGATTTTTTTTCCCTCCGCACCCACTAGATGAAATTTGATGCTAATTTGGAACTTAGGGTTTCCATAATATTTCAACTTTGGTGAGGGTAGTGGGGAGGGAGAACTTAGAGACATATAATTAATTGACCATTAGTTATAATTGAAGCATCAACATTTTCCAACCCACAGCTGACATTCAGATTTCTAGGGTCACCCTCCTGGACCCCAATACCAGCATTCTCTTACCAACTGCATGCTTTCTGTCATGATTGTTCAGGTTGTTCAAATTGTTTACTTCTACTTTGGAGTCTTCGATTAAGGTGCCAGGGCTGGTGACTCCTGGGATATTGGGCAGATGGCAGGGTGGGGTCTGAGCCATGGGAGAATTTCGACGATCCAACAGAAACTTTCGATCATAAATGATTCGGGTTCCTGGAAAACATCATTGGACAGAGTTTGAAACAAATTAAGGGGTTATCAACATATAATACTACCCAGGAATTTATTTCAAATCCCAACTAATTCTAACCCTTAAGGATTTTACAGGGGTTAGCTTGAACTTCCCAGGTCTCTCTGCTATCTGGAATGCCTTTTCCTTCTCTCCAGCTGGGGAAATTCCCTATTTACCCTTCAAGCTTCAGTTTCAACATCACTTCCTTTACAAAGCTTACATCAATTTCACTGGTCCATTTATTTATGCGTTCATTTCATTGGTTGCTTCTTGTATTCTTGTATGTGCCCTCACTGCAGATTGAACTCAGAATGGCGCTCTAACCAACTGAGCTACCCAGCCAGGGCCTTTTTTTTTTTTTAAAGATGTTCTTTCCCCCCCATCTTACTCAATATACATGAACTATTATAGGACTCTTGTTTAATCTATCTGCACCTCTAAAGACTATGAATTCCTTATGCCAGGGCCATGACTTATTTTTATCTGACCTAATCATTACATAGATCTTCAAAAAAAAGTTTTAAATAAAGTTATAAACAAGTATGTGAAAAAATAACCAATAGATAGATGGCCACCTTTAAGTTAAAGGCACCGAGAGAGACATATTTTCCAGACAGAACTATAGTACAGAAGCTGAAACTGACAAACCAGTCTGCTTACCAGTTAAGTGCTACCAGAATATTTTATTATTAGAGGCCTGGTGCATGGATGTGTGCACCGGTGGGGTCCCTCAGCCTGGCCTGCACCTTCTCACAATCCGGGACCCCTCAGGGGATGTAGTAGTGCAGGAAGCAGCAGGCGGCCAGGAAGGAGTCAGAGCCAGGGGCCGGGCGCCACTCCCGCTCATTCCGGTCCTGCTGCCACCGTGCCACTTGGTAGCGCTGCCATGGAGGCAGGAGAGGCTTGCACCGCTGCAGCTGTGCTCTCCAGCCATGAGCCCAGCTTCTGGCTGAGCAGCGCTTCCGATGTGGGAGCGCACTGACCACCTGGTGGTCAGTGCACATCATAGCAACTGGTCGTTCCGGTCCTAATGGTCACTTAGGCTTTTATATATATAGGTAGTTCTAAAGAGTGCACTTTACCTGATAAACAGTTAAAAAAACTTGCTGCTGTCCATTTACAAGTGCCTAATGTTGACCTAATGTAGTGGATGCCTGAGCTCTGCTGCTGATTCTAAAACTACAGTAAGCTCAGGAGGAAAGATGTGGTGACCTTGAGTGAAGTCTGAACGGGTAAGGTGGAAAGGGGAGCGGAAGCCCAGCATACTAGCCATCCCTGCCCAAGTAACAAAGGGTGTAGTCATGTGGAGGTTTCTTGCTCATACTAGGCTTAAACCCAGGAAAGAAAAACCTGCTTTGAAGGTTTAGACATCCAGTTGAAGGCAATCCTATATAATAAAAGCCTAATATGCAAATTGACCAAACCACGGAACGACTGGTGGAATGACAGGTCGCTATGACATGCACTGATCACCAGGGGGCAGACGCTCAACGCAGGAGCAGCCCCCCAGCCCACAGGCCTCAGGACAGTCAAGGTGGGTGCCAGTGGGGGCCCCCGATCGCCCCACCAGTTGCCCACAGAGGAAGGTGAACTGCAGTGGTGGGGGACAGGGCCGGTGAGCAGGCGGCACCAGGCTGGCCAAGGCAGGTGCCAGCAGGGGCCCCCCCAATCACCCCGCTGGTCACTCCACAGATCAGTCTTGATCGCTGGCCAGGCATAGGGACCCTACCCACGCACGAATTTCATGCAGTAGGCCTCTAATATTATATAAAAGTAAAACTGTGCAAAGTCACTCAGTTTAAAGAGGTAGAATGTAAATACTACAAAAAGCAGAATGCAAATGCTTTTAGATTCCCATGTAAAAAGAAAGAATACTGTCATCCTATTCTATATAATAAAAGCCCAGAGACTGAATGGCGGAAAGATCAGAACGACCGGTTGACCAGTTGCTATGATGTGCACTGACCAGCAGGGGGAAGACGTTCAATACCGGAGCTGCCCCCTAGTGGTCAGTGTGCTCCCAGAGTGGGAGCGCCACTCAGCTGACCAGGATGAGCGGTGCTCCCACAGCGGGCTGATCCCCGCAGGCCACGCCCCCACCAGCACACGAAACCAGTGCACTGGGCCTCTAGTATTATAATAAGGAGAGTTTGATTCAGGCAGATTTCCTCAAATAACATGTGACAAGCTATATCCTGGGAAACGGAAGAACAAATATACAGCTAACCAATCTACTTGAAACATAAGGAAGCAAGTGGGGGGAAAAGCAAGATATTTACTGCAAGAGGAATAAAAACTCTGGAGTTTTCCCAGAAAAGGAAAGAAATAAATATTTAATCTAAATAAGTAATACCAACATTAAATAGTTGGGAAATGAATTACAAACTCAATAATTTCCTTGGGATTAATAGCTGCGGTAGTACCATGACACTGTTATGCCAATGCTAGTAAATAATTTCCTTTTGACTAGAAAGAGTCAAACTATGTGAGGAAGTGAGTGGCCAATAGAGACTCTACCCTCCACCCCCTCCATCCTTGCTTTAACAATCAAAATTAAGTACTAAACATACTATCTTCTCAATAATACTACAAATTAGTCACCTTTATGGCTTTCAAACCAACTCCAAAGGATATCAACTTTCTTTTTTACTGTCTAGTTCTGTTGCAACTATACTGCACACACAATCATATTTATAGTTTATAAAAAGTGAAAATGAAATATCTGGCTCTCAGCCTCTCCTTAATAAACTACTAAGGAAAATACTGTACCATACTTGGAACCTACGAAGACAGCATTTTTGAAGATATCTGTATCAGAATCTTCTGGGATGCTTGTTAAAAAAACATTCCAACTGAATTCGAATCCTTGGGATTAGAACCTGGAAATCAGTATTTTTTTTCAAGTTCCCCAATCATTCATGAGTTCATTAAAGTTAAGAACCCAACATCATCCTTCTTCCACAACCCTGGTAACAGTGCTTTAAGAAGAGATGAAATATCAAATAATTAGTGAGAGAGGGAGGGAAGGGACAAGAGAGATCATTTTTAACAGATGATGCTGAGACTCAGAAAAATGACTTAAAGTCATAGAGCTAACCAGAGGCACAATCTGAACTGACCCTATAGTCTCCTGACTCCCAGTCCAACCCTCTTGCCAGTCTACCTCACAGTCACTATGATCTCCAAGAGCAGGAGTGAGCTGCCTAAAGTGAAAGGGATGGAAGGATATATTACTTAATATAAATAACAGGTAAACAGCACATGGTATGGCAAGCAGTTTATACCAATCATTTGCCCTGAAGCACTGCAGGACAGGATAAGGGGAAGTGGTGGAGGCAGTTTTTTGTTTTGTTTTCTAGTTCAGCAAGGCCTGATTACTTATACCTTTTATAAATTATCTAATATTTGTACTTCTTCTAACATGACAGAGAAATGTACCATTTTTAAAATTATGTGAATAGGGCCTGGCCGATGTGGCTCAGTGGTTGAATGTTGACCTATGAACCTGGAGGTCATGGCTCAATTCCTGGTCAGGGCACATGCCCAGGTTTAGGGTTCGGTCCCAGACCATACCAGAGGCAGCCAATTGATGTTTCTCTCTCTCTTCCTCTCCTTTCTTCTCTCTCTAAAAATCAATAAAGACATTAAAAATAAAAATTATAGTAACAACTCAAAAAGGCATCTGGATATTATGAGTCATTTTGGATAGCAGAAAACAGTTCAACTTTCAAAAAGTGAATAATTTTAGTTATTTTGGATGAAAATTTTTCTCATATGGATTTAAAACTTTTTACTATCTTAAACAGAAAATTCAACCCTTCCTTGATGAATCAGGGTCATTATTATGAAAATCACTTTTTATATTAGGTTGCATCCTAGGAAGTCTCAGAGTTTATTCAATTGAAGCTCTTTATTTTCCTTACACTACAATTGCCAAGGTTGTACTTAGGTCCCTCCCTCTATAGTTTGTCTCCTCCCCAACTCTTAGGCTAAGAACTTTGCTTTTTCCCCATGTCTTAGTCAGCGTGGGCTGCCATAACAAAATACCATAGAAGGCATCGCTTAAACAGAAACTTATTCTCTTACAGTTCTTGGCAATCCAAGTTCGAGGTGCCAGCATGACAGAGACACTAATCCCACCAGGAGGGCCCTCCTGACCTATTCTAATAATCTCTCAAAAGCCCCATCTCCAAATATCATCACATTTTGGGTTAAGGCTTCAACATCTGAACATCTGAAGGGGTATGTGTGGCAAGATTCTACCTATAATGCACCCTTCACCCATTCAAACTTGAAGCTTCTAATCTGTTGGGTTTGAAAATCGGTGATGTGCTTAAGAGAATGCTATGAAAATAAGAGGAAATAGGCAGAGAGGGGGCCTGATAGCTTTCCAATGAACAAAGGGAAGGAAATTTAGTGGATGGACTTTGCATATCTGTTGTGTCACCCCCACTTTTGTTGTCACTACTAAGTTTCAGAGAAGTGAGGTTTCACTTTGAAATGTTCTTACCAACATTAAATTTGCAAGTCAGAACAAGATTACTCTCACTTCTGCAATACACCAAGCATAGAAACTGGAGATGAGGTGTTAGAAAAAAGCACGGGATAAAAGTAAGCTTTCTATTTCTAAACTAGAGGCCCGGTGCACAAAAATTTGTGCACTCGGGGGTAGGGGGTCCCTCAGCCCGGCCTATGCCCTCTCGCAGTCTGGGACCCCTTGGGGGTGACCACTTGCTGGCTTAGGCCTGCTCCCCAGGGGATTGGGCCTAAGATGGCAATCAGACATCCCTCTGGCAGCCCGGCAGCCCTCGGGGGATG